GCGTCTGCCTTCGGCTCAGGTCATGATCCCAGGGTCCTGGGATCGAGCCCCGCATCGGGCTCCCTGCTCGGCAGGAAGCCTGCTCCTCCCTTTCCCACTCCCCCTGCTTGTGTTCCTTCTCTGTGTCTCTCTGTCAAATAAATAAAATCTTTAAAATAAAAAATGAAGTGCCACCTTCATCATATATTCTTTGGTCTATTTCTGGGCTTTCTGTTCTGTTCTATTTGTGGATCCATGCACCACTACCACATTGCTTTTATTATAGTTACATTGTAGCGCATTTTGTTTGTTAGGGCTAGTCACCCCTTTTAGATTTTCAGTGTTTTTCTGCCTATTTTTGAATGTTTGTTTTTCCATGTGAACCTGATTATTAACTTTTCTAACTCCATGGAAAGCTTATTGGTATTTTATTTGAATTGCACTAAATTTACGGATTAATTTAGGAAGAACTGAGATCTTTATAATGTTTATTAATTTTCCCTAAATACTTAATCATGTTCTTTACTGTTATAAATTACATTTTCTCTACCGTTTTGTCCTTTACCTAGTTATGGTTTTCCAATAGAAAGACTTAATTTTTTCAACAGGTTTATTGATATATAATTTACATAACATAAAATCATTCTTTTTTTTTTTAAGATTTTATTCATTTATTTGACACAGAGAGAGAGAGAGGCAGAGAGCAAGTACAAGCAGGGGGAGCAGCAGACAGAGGGAGAAGGAGAAGCAGGCTCCCCACCGAGCAAGGAGCCTGACGTGGGGCTCGATTCCAGGACCCCGGGACCATGACCCGAGCCGAAGGCAGACGCCCAACCAACTGAGCCACCCAGGCACCCCTAAATCATTCTTTTTTTTTTTTTTTTTTTAAGATTTTATTTATTTATTTGACAGAGAGAGACACAACGGGAGAGGGAACACAAGCAGGGGGAGAGGGAGAGGGAGAAGCAGGGTTCCCGCTGAGCAGGGAGCCCGATGCGGGGCTTGATCCCAGGACCCCAGGATCACAACCTGAGCCGAAGCAGACGCTTAACGTCTGAGCCACCCAGGCGCCCCAAAATCATTCTTTTAAATTGAACAAATCAGGGGCACCTGGGTGGCTGTCAGTTGAGCATCCAACTCTGATATTGGCTCAAGTCATCACTTCTCAGCCTTTTGTCTAAAATCAAGTGATAATTGGTTTAAGTCATGATCTCAGCATAGTGATATGGAGCCCTGCATAGGGCTTCACGCTCAGCAGGGAGTCAGCTCTAGATTCTTTCCCTCTGCCCCTCCTCCTGCTCATTCATGCTCTCTCTCTCTCTCAAATAAATAAATGAATAAATCTGAAAAAATAAAGGGAACAAGTCAGTGCTTTTTAATATAATCACAATTTTGTGCAACCATCACCAGTATGTAATT